ATGCTGCTCCCAGCCATGTTTGAGCTGGCCCTGGCCCCCCCCCTTACCTGACACATCGGTCTTGCTGAACCAGAAAACCTCCTTGATGTCATCCAGATCTTTCCAGGATTCTTGGCTGTCGGAATAGCCTCTCAGCTTGTGTTCTATGTTCCTAACAGCGGATCAGAAAAGGGGAGGTCGATGGTGGATCAGACGAGAAGGGGTGCACTTTGAGGCATGCCCTCCCAGTGCTTGGAAAAGTTACTTTTTTTGAACTGCAGTTTCTAGTATCAAGAGGCTTCCAGTGGCTTTTTATTTTACTCAGGATTCAAAAAGCAAACGTTCATTGGGATTTTGGCTATGCACGTGCCCTGTGATTTTATTAGCATGGCGCTATGCAATACAGTTAGATCTATTGGATTACATGTCTTATTAAACCCAGGGATTTGTAGTTTCTCACAGTATGTAGAATTCAGTTCTGCAGTTCAGAAGAGTGCTGTAGGCCTCTTTGGCCAAGAATTTTAGGTTCCTTGCCAAATGATAAATTGTAGGATGTGCCTGGACATGAATTAGTCTCGAACAGATGAAACTGCGGTGTTCCGGGAATCCTTCTACGGATGGGTTCTTCCCAGGTGTTTTTCCGTCGACCACCCAACCTGTTTCCCCATAGCTCCGCCATCCCAAACCAGCCGCCCTGGCCACCTCTTAGCTTGCTGGACCTCCCAGCCACTTCCCAAGAAACCTTCCGTGATTCCTTGCAGCTTACTTGTTTTTAGCACGTTCAAGAAAGAGGGCTGCTTTGGTAAAGGAGAACTTGTCGTTGTTCTCCAGGTCTTCGACGGAGTCAACGTCCAGACAGTAAGGGACACCTTCAGCGAACACCTTCCAGCTGCACAAGAAGGAAGGAAGGAAGGAAGGAAGGAAGGAAGGCAGGCACATTGTAAAACTCAGACAAAATATTTCTGGAGAAGATTTTTCTGGGGAATTTTTTTGACAGATCCAGGGGCTTTGTGTTCTTACAAGTTCTTGCATGCTTAAGGTTCTTTCCAGGACACTAATGGATAAGCCGGACTCCCCCTTTTAAAAAAAAAAAAAATGTCAAAGCCATCTAAAAGCCAGGCCTGCCTCTTGCACCCTGGTCCTCCTATGGCCAAGACCAAAATGTTGAGAAAGGTTCTTCCTTGGTGGTCTTCAGAACAGCCAACCTAGTGAGATGTTGGCACATCGCTCACCATTGTTGGAAAATGCACTCACTCGTAAGAAGCTTGCCGAACCTGAACCTCCTTCTTCCGGACTTTCAGGAGTATGGGCAGAGTATCCATGGCAGGAGTTTTGGCTGGTGGGAAAGAAAGAACACACCGAAAGAGATGCCGTTTAATTGCCAGCTGGCCCTGCTATTATGGGTCTTTGGCAGGTGGTCACCGGGAAACCTTCCATTACTTACAATTGTGAACAGATCAAGAGCAAATAAGCTGCTTCCAATGGACTGAAGAGAGGGAAAAGAACACTCCGCAGAAAGGCGGAATTATGGGGGCTGCTAAGATGGTTCAGTGACAGAGGGTAATGTTGGGAGTTTTTGAAAACTCTCATGCTGCCCTTAGTAGGTTTGGCTGGGTGGGACTTTTCAAGGCTTGGGGTGACTATAAATATTTCGGGTACTAATCAATTATTCTTTCTCTGCTTCTGAATTCAAAGAACCCCGCCTCTCTGCTCAGAGCTCTTTCCCTCTCTTGAGTCTGTTGAAGTCTGTGGCTAAAAGTAGTCAGGTTTGTCCGTTTGCTGTTTGATCTGTTCAGGTGTAAGTAGTGAAAACTTTTATTCTTTCTCTTACAAATAGGAGTGAATGATTCAGACCATAAGTGCCAGTTGATGAGAAAAACAGGTGGGCTACTCTGGGAAACTTTGTCTATTGACCTAGAAGCTGAAAACCCAGGCCACTGCCTCTTTCCTCTTCCTCTTTGAGCAGGTCTACTCACCAGTCCCTTCCTGGAGCTCCAAAATCTGGCGCCCCTCTATCCACTGGTAGCAGGGGAAATGGAAAGTCTTCTTATCTGGGGATGTCACAGTCACATTATTGCAGTACCATCTGGTGGTGAACACGAGGAGCTTGCACTCTTTGTGGAGCCGGATGAGCACAATGTCTCCCAGGTCATGGTCAGAAGAGACC